CAAACGTCAATATGAATAATCTTGTCTTCAAGGCTGCGACATTCTCAAGCTTTCGAAGAAGCCGACCCCATCGTGAAGCCCAAACTTGTCTTTTTTCTCATTCCTGGGTTGTTATGTACTCCATTTCCTCTAGGCATCATTCACAGCAATTTAATGCTCGAGTCCTGATTTCTGTTGGAGAACACTTCGTTCAAATTGGCCTACCAATAATGTCTGAGTCCTCAATGGTCGAGTGAGCTGAACGTCATGCTGGTAGTGGAATCCAACCGGGCTGAGGATTGTCTGGACCGAAGCCTGGTGTTGGGTCTCGCTCTCTCTACCAGCGCCTGCATAGCTCGAATCTCGCCGGAGTGGTTGATGAGACGACTAATTGTTCAGCTTGAGCGATTGCAGCCATCTGGAAAGCACTGCACATTGAATTCCATCACTGAAATAAGACCTACTGCATCTCTTGAATTCATTGCCGCTGGAAACGTTATCAGTAACCGTGAAAAGATAGCCGATCTGTGCATCTTGTAGTCACTTTCCTGACTGTCTGAAGGTCGGAAACGTAGATGCAGAACTCAAAAGTAGCCTCGATCGCAGCGCTCAGATTGACAATATGCCTTTGTAACGATAAACCTGTGAAATAACTGAATTTCTGGCATTTTCTTTCCTACATAAGATGTATTTACCCTATTTCGATAAAGGACCAGAAGTTGAATTTTCTTAAGTTCATGTGGATTCCCATTACATTTCACTTATTCTTGCTTCCCAAAAGGTATTCTCTTGCAGGCGGACAGCAGTATTGACCATTTTGGGGTCGTATCAGAACCTCCAGTGGGACTCGAAACCGGGTTGAGGTGGTACAGCGCATGATCACCATGCCAAACAGTCACGAATACCCTTTGGTGACAGGGTAGGTGTGGATTTTAAGGAAGAACAAATTCCATTCTGCGACAAAGCAAATTTGTATCTATTATTGCAATCGACTGTATTACTTTATATTCGTTGATAAGTAGGTTTTATAGACTTTCAGTCGATCATTTTATATGAGATGCACTTCGTTAAGATTATGACATCCTCTATTGATTATGACGAGAGGCTCGGTTATTCTTGTTAGTTTGGTATGCTGGTACTGGTTTTGCAGAATTTCATCTATAGTTGTGATGATGTCCGTCATGGAGGAGACAGAAAAAAGCTCAGCCTGAATTCACAATTTTGTTTCCTGTAAGTCCAATTCGCGAAGCTTTTCCAACATACTTTTTCTTCGAAATTAAAAGTCGACTCATACAGAATTTCTTCACTGACTGAGCTGATACATGGCCGGCCAGCTTTATGGTCATCCGATTTCGTTTAAGGTGATGAAGGAATGGCAGAAGAAGAATTTTCCCACAATGATATGAGTTGAGCTGACGTTTCCATTGAATTTCACATAGCCTT